TAATAAAATCCTAGTAATAATAATAAAATTATGTTTTTTATATGTTTATGCTATGTGCAATGAAAGGAACTGAATTCAATTCTGCCTGATGTGTGATCAGTGATGCTGTTAACTGGTTTCCATTTTAAGGGCTACATGTATTAATATATTATCTTCAGATGCACCTTCAGATACAGCTGTGCTTTTCCATTTAAAGTAATAACATTTCATTGTAGTAACTTAGGGCAACATTTGCTGTGTCTTTATTACTATTGATAAGCCATAAAGAACTTGGACTGATTTATAGATTCTACACCAATTTTGAATACCTGTCATTTGTGGTGATGACAGGAAGATGTCTTTTTATTTGTAAACTGATATGTTACACAGATTCTTGGGCTGTAAGGACTCTGATCTCCTGAAAGTAATTTGCATAACATCATTTGTGTCTGTATTTATTCATTAAATATCTTCTCCGGCTCTATGGGTAACGCACAACATTTATTTTGCTTTATGTTATGCAATGTAAATAACAGATACATTCAGGAGTAGATCCTGACTGCCTCATATGGTAAGCATCAGTGTAGCTCAGGATTACATCAGCCGAGAATCTACCCTTACCATTCATGTAAGTGCCCGTCTTTCAGTGCATTATACAAATGTTTTCCACAGTTTATCATCAGCAAAGCTGTCACCTAACAGCACACAGTGCCTTCTATCAGCCATTACTTTTCTGTCATCATCATCAAGTGTAGCTTAAAAGAATCTGTACATCATTTCCTTCCTTCTGAACAATTTCCATTGAAATAATTGACCTGCTTTTATGGTAATTCAGTCTCTGCTATTTGTTACTCCAGCATTTTGCAAAGAAAAATGCAAAATTAATGCCCTAGAACAGACACATTCAACCAAATTACTTATCAGTAATCCAAAGAATCATGGATAAATCCATTGCTCAAGTGGCTTCTCGTTTAGAGCTTTATTCAGTTTTCACCTAAGGATTGAGATTTTTTTTATTTTCTGTGGGTGGAGGGGTTTTGTTTTTGAAAGGTAATACTCATGCTCTTTGCCCTAGAGCCATTTTGTATAAATCTCTTCTAGAATCTGTATCTGCCAGCACTGTCACTCCACCCACAATCTTTCACTAGTAGTGTCTGCTAAAAATATTTAGAGGGGCTGTTTCCACTTGTTTGGTACATTTCATTTCATGTGTCTGTCTCCTCCTTCTTCATTCCTCAAGACAGTCAATAGAAGATGTCATTTAAGACCAGTGTTTTAAAGTAGCAACCAATAAAGAGACTTACACCGTGATTAATGCGTGGATGGTGTTCGAGGATAGTTTGCTGTAACTTAGAAATACATTGGGGCCCACCAAGTTTGTTTTAAAGAAATGAAAAGACTCTGTTCACAGGTTGGAGCCTTCGACTCACTGAATATGCATTTTTTCCAACAATTTCTGCCATTGCTGTTAATTAGTTTCAAACTGTTATATAGTCACCTGGAAGTGCAAAAGAATATAGAAGCAACATTCATAGAATTTGGGCTGTTTGAAAAGTTAAACAATGAGAAGGATTTTAATTTTCACTAAAAAGCTGGAAACCATAGACAAAATGTGTGATGAGAACTGCAATATCATTTAAAGGAAAATTGTGGTTTCAAAAATCAAAAGGAATGTTGTTTGTTTTTACCTAATAGATATATATATAATTATATATATTATATATTTGGCTCCCAGAAACTTTGTCATTCTGTAGAATTTCTGAGTTGTTGTTGCATTTTTCAGTGGTAATATGTATTGACATAAAGAGATGATAGATACTACCGTGCTGATTTAAGCCAGATATATGTTAGTGGAAGAGTTTTAAAAATTGATAACAGAGAACATGGTATTAATTTGCCTGTTTTCCTTTGGAATTTTTTTTCAGTAGGGAGATTCTTTCAGCGGAAGGTGCCAACATTTTGTCAGGGGCAACAACGAATGGATTTTCATTCTTTTCTTTTTCATCTTAATGTCCTAAAAGGTGCAGCTTTCTTCATAGGTGACATTAGCTCTATTTTGAATGTTCAGCCTCTTGAAAGAGAACATGAAACAGGGAGAAACAGAGGGACCAGAGCACAAGCTGAATATTTTCTTTGCTGCCTAAATCTTAAAGGAGTCCTATAGACACATTTTGTGTTGTATTCATGGTATTTACACAAGCAGTTCCAATATAGTGAATTAAATAGCGAAATAGGCATTCATGAACTGCTGTGAAAATGCTGATTGCAGAACCAGATTCTGTCTCTACTTTGCAACTGGAAGTTTTATTCTCTATTTTTTCTTAGTGCTTCAGGATTACTGTGAATGAAAGTGGACTCAGTATTTTTGAACTCTGAGTGTCACGGCTTCCTTTTTGAGTGGCACAGCTTTTTGATCTGTGTGTTGGGTGGAAGGAATGATTTATGTCTTGAAATGTTTTATAAATGTTACATTTCAGGGGCAGCTTCATTTAGTACAGTGAACCCAAATAACCTATTAGCGAATGAGTCTTACATGAAGAGAGATGGTGAGCTCAATCCAGATTTTTGTAGAAATATGTGATTCTTGGAATCTCAGCTCAGAGGCTGATTGGCTGTGATGCCTATGGGATATGGATTTCTGATATGGGTGCAGCCAGGTGGGACATCTATATGTTTCTGTGTGTTTGATGAAGGATCAGAAAAATCTTGTGAGCTAAAATAGTATTATGTATTTTTTTCCTTACAAACAAATGTAGCTTCAGAGTTGGGAACATCTGGAATGTCATGGTTATTTTAGTATTATTCCACAGTCAATTGTATTTTTTACTTTACAGGTCTATGGGGAGAGGATTTTCTTTCTCTCTCATTCATTCGTTTTCAAAAAACACGATTTCATAATATTAATGAAATTTACTGGGATGCTTCTGTGGGTCACTTTGGGTAAACAATCAACAAGGTGGAGGTGCTTGTTTTCTGGCCCTGTAAAGCAAGACTTTATGACTAATTAGGATATAAGTAAAGTGGACTGTAATTTTTCCAGAAGTCCCTCAGAATCTCTGACAGATCAACCTCCAATGCCTGGAAGAATCACTAGTTCCAGCTCAATTGATGCTTCTCTGTTTAGTGATTGGTACTTGAGGATTTATTAGTAACCCATAAACTAATTGTTCGCTTACTGGCAGTGGAATTAAAAGCTTTTTGCCATTTTCAAGTAAACAAACAAATCTATAAATGACAGAAAGCTAAAACACCAATGAGAATGCTGTAAGATGCAGGCATCTTTTTGTATGAACAAGATGGAGACAATAACCATACATTTTTTGTATGAACAAGATGGAGACAACAAGATTGTCAAAAGTGGTGCAGTCCAACTCACAGTCAAAAGTCAAAAAGCCAGGCTTAAAGTGCTTCTAGGACGTTGCCACCAAGTCCATCATGCTTCACACAAAACTGTGCACCCTGGTGATGTCTCTGGTTCTTCACACAGCCAGGTAGGTAACGGGAACTTTCTCATGAGGAGAGGGGCTGCATCCTGCTCAGCACTGAGGGTCAGGAGTCACCAATGTAATGCCAAGGCCAGCCCTGAAATCCAAGGCCTGCATCTCACAAATTTTGAGGGAGTTTATTTCTGCTGCTTTTTGAAACCTAGAGAAAAGACAGAATCCTTTTAAGATTCCCCTTGACTATTTGTAGTTCTGAGAGAGTAGTGGGCACAACTTTGTGAGCGCTGGAGAAAGAAATATGTATATATAGACAGGAAAATGCATTGCAAGAGCATTGCTGTTATTTCTTCTGCAGTCATATGCTACCCTTAAAGACGCTAGCATGTTTTCTTCTACAAAAAGATCTTTATGCTTCTGAACTTTCATAAGGCTTAATCAGTACAAATAATGGTAGAAGCACAGTGACATCAGACTTGGTTCTGAGTTGTGTGTCTCAGTTGCTTAGTCACTTAAATCAGTGGAAATAAGCGTAGCAGTTAGAAGTTTCAAAAGGTCAAAGAAGCTACTGTCTTTTTAGCTTTGAATCAGCTGAGAGATTCCAGCTTCCTGGACACCATAATGCCAAGACTGCATCTCTGCATTTGATTCTCTCTCTGTCTCTTTTTTTCCCCTTTGAAACAGCACAGTAATTAGCTTAAAGGGCAACTCACGCCACATTCAGTAGAATAATAATGAAAAATATAACTTCCTTTTTATGTTCTCTTTCATATGAATCTAGTTTAAAGAGGATTTTGAGCCTACATTGTATGCAGAAATATTTGACTGGAGTACTTTTACTCAAACACCAAAAAAATGTTCACGTTTTCCATTAAAATGAATATTTGTTGGTATAAATATGAGAGTTCTACTACCACTTACTTGGAAGAAAAAGAAGAAACAGAATTCCTTTGAAAGCAATTTGTAAGAAAATTAAAATCAAAGCAAAAGAGTTCTTAAAACTTTTTTTTAAAATACGATTTGCTGTTTTTGTTTGTGAAAACAGAAGCATGGTTTTTGGGAGGAAGCCACCCCTCATCAAGACTGCCTCAGAAGAAAAGTGCTCCTTTTTTTTTTTCCTACCTAGATGTGTTGGTCAATCAAATGCGGCACTCACTCTGATCATAACACTCTGATCTTTACGACACAACTCTATACTGTTTTAGGGACTGTTATTCCTTGTATATTCCTCCAAATGACTCCTCCTTTTTTTATTTCCATGTATTTCCAGCTGCCGTTCTGCTCTAGAAGTTAGGCTGTCCAAAAGGATTATTGAACATTTCCATTTTGGGATATATGCAGTCTTCTCAGAACTGAGACCCATGCACTGGCGTTCTTGGGACTTCTGGCTGGTTGTGCTGTTAGTAGTCTTTCTTTGGTTCGTGAGACTTTACCTGCATTATTGCAGTCAGTGGCTCTTCCTTCAGGCCATCTCTGTTCCGGTTACAAAGTAAGTCCTCTTTTACTTACTTTCTGGGTTAGATTATTTCTACCAGTAGCTAAACTGAGAGGTTCCTTCACACTAGGAAGAGAACTAATGACTAAGACCTGTGGTAGGAAGCTGCATGAAAGCCCAGATAGGAGCCTCCTCAGAAATTAGAAAAAGAACAAGCTCTGGAGGCATCATATTTGATGTTACAAAAGTGATTTGCAAGTAAAATATTTTACAAGAATTTAAATTTGATATATCAGATTTACTAAGAGGACTGTACAGACTTGACACATTTTAACTAGGTGACATATTGACTTTTGCTCAGGAACCAGAACTCTCCAGAGAGTTCTATGAAAATCATTACATGCCAATAGTGGAGATGTCAAAGGAGGTGAACAGATCCACAAGATAATATGTACCTGCTTCCCTATATGTTGAGTAGAAAGTGGATTATAGGCCAAATAAGATCAATCAGGGTTAGGGAAAGGAAGATTTTTCCATTGGAAGATTTTTTTTTCACTTTAAATCATCATGCAAACCTGATTCAGTCAGTTGGTGACATTCAACCTTGCGACCTATGTCTGTTATATGCTAACCCAGATGATACTGGGATTGCTGGGTAGACTTTGAACAGATTGTCCGGGCAGACTATGTTCAGCAATAATATGTTAAGAGTATCTTCTAGATCGTAACGTAAAGCTAGACATCACTTGTGTCTAGCCTTGCAGAAGGCCAGGAGGTCTCAGCCGGGTGCCATTAAAACCTTTGTTGGGCCAAGCACCAAGAGTCTGTGAAAGAAAAGGAAACAAAACAGACGGAAATAATATTGGGCAAAGAGGAAGTTATGTCTGAATCACTGCAGTCTCAGGCACACAACTGTATTAAGGAAAACATTCTCCAGCAAGGTGTCCTGGATTGGTAGCCAAATATGTTAATGGATGCCCTCAGTCCAAGTGAGTTAAACACCCTCTAGTTCCATCAAATTCAATAGTAACACTCGCAAATCAAAGTGAAAACCAAGCCACTTTTACTTTAGTTACTTTAGTTACTAGGTGTGGATGGATACAGGAGTAAAATTTAAGCAATTTTGATTGACATTTTTTGCCTTAAAATTCAGCATCTGCATGTAGCTCATAATACCATGTAGTTATTGCCTCTTGCAGTGCAGGCTGTTTGCTTACTGCCTGCTGCACAGAATGCTCCGAGCTTATCAAAACCTGCTCCTTGGTGGCAAGCGGGACATTTTCATTCCCTCTAAGGATGTTGGAAAGTGTGGCTTTCCTGACATGTTTCCTGCTTCGCGCTGCTGTGTGCAGCTGCTTCCAAAGTTGCTGCAATATGCAGAGAGGGGTGAGGTGTTGGGACCTGAGCTCACACTGGTGCTTGTGACCTCTGTGCATTTCTGCAACCCAACCTGCACCATTCCAAGGATCTGGATGTGTGCCAGTTCACTGGAGAGTGAAAGGGGATCCAAAGAGGAGGAGAAGGAAGGAGCAAGAGCTTGGGCTTTGGGCTTGTTTTTGAATAGCTTCATACACCTTTTGGTGTGATCCTACTGGGAGATAGGTGGAAACCCTCTTTGGGAGTGCTCAGGAATTTAACCTGAGGATACAAAACTGGGTTGTGCTTCTATTACCACAGGGAGGGTTGTGACCAACCTAGGGATTCGATGTTACACTGAAATGCGTTGTCCATATTATTCTACTTTTGTAATGAGCAGCCTGAGAACAAACTCTCCACTGCCTTTCTACTTTGCTTGTTTGCAGATTCCAGTTTTTCCCTCACACAGTTGAACTGTGCTACCAAAACTCCTTGCTGCAGACCAGTGAAGAGTTGGCCATGGTCGTGGTGGGACCCCTAACCTTGAACGCAGGGCTGCTGCTTTTGGTTCTGATCAGATGGGGCTGTCAGCAGCTGTTTGACTCATTCCCTTCCTTCTTGTCAAAGTTTATCATGGCTATGGGACTCTGGACAGTGCTAGACCCCTTGGCAGTGTTTGTAGTGGATTCATTCCTGGGGGTAAGTCACTTAAAATAACTTGGACATGAGTCCTTGACGTAGAAGTTTGTTTTATTCAGTGAATCAGTGAAAGATATGAAATTCAACCCCTGGCAATGGAACATGAACGTTAAAAAGAAATTAAATAATAATGTTATGCATTACCTTTTTATTAACAAAATTCCCATCTAATGGAGTCACAGAGTTTTTGCGTAAAATTAAGAGCACTGTACAAGCCACATATGGAGATAAGAAAGTAAATTCAACCCTGGAATGATAGCTGCTGCTTTGAAAAGGATTACTGCAATTTTCAATATTAATGGAGATGGATTAATGAGTGGTCCTTATTTTTAACGTTTCAGATTTTTCCAAGCACTGAAACAGAGAAACTAAAAAAATATCAAAACAAAAGGTGCCTGACATGCAAGGTAGTTAATACTCTTTGTTGGTACCTAGAAAACACTGGCAAGATGGTAACACAAGTTCCCTACAGTGACAGCCTCATAGCATTTAAAATCATGAGAGCGAAGCACCGACTCTGGCACTGCCTGTGTATGTGTGCCTTGGTGGCACGAGAGCTTTCATCACATGCACCGTCGTGTCCAGCCTCCCTGGACCTGCATTTCAGATTTAGGCCTCTCTGTGCCTTTGACACAAGGTCCTTTTAATGGGTGTCTGGTAGCAAGAGCTTTTGTATGTGTGCGGGGATGTCCTGGGTTGGGCCTTCCTTGGAGTGATGTGTAAGGATAACTCATTTTCCCGCTGAGGATCAGCAGTTTGTGCTGTGGGTCAAGTTTTCTCATGTCTTCTGATTCCTTGTCCTCTAACCTGTGTTCTGCTTTTCAAAAGCCTTTAAAAATGTGCATTTCCTTTGCTTTTATGCTCCTTCCTATTGCAGTGCTTTTCAAAATTAAAATTCGGATGTTCAAAAAATTTAATTTGAAGTCTCTCTGGAGATAATTGCCATATTCTAAGTATGTGGCAATACACTGTAATTTCCACTCGGAGTGCCTGCCTATTTATTTATTTATTTATTTGTGGTGTAAGCTATGCACAACATTGAAATTTAATTGAAAATATATTGACGAAGATATATTTTTTAGAAAAAAAAAGGATTATTTCCCCAAAATACATGCTGGAAAAAAATAGATATTTTAAAGGTTTTTACAACTGAAGAAAAATCTTTTCTGCTTCTTTTTGAGAAAATTGTTCCTTTTGGCTTCTTCAGAATTGTGTTTGTGTAGTCATACTGAATTCATTATTATTTTCACTTCTGTGGTTGGCCAGAGAGAAATACAAGATATGAATAAAGTAGCTAAGATTTTCATTACAGTATCATTTATACTGAAAATTGGGCAATTTTACCCACCAACATTATATTTAGTAGAAACTCATTTGTTCAACCATTATACTATACACTGTGTGTATTCTTTGCAAAGTGAAACTATATCTTTTATGTGTGTTTCTGGTATTGCATTTGCAGACTTTTTCTCCTGACATTTATTCAGCAGCTATTTCAGATTTACTTGCCAATCTATTTTAGATCAAGCATTTTTAAAATATTGTCTTCTGGTAATAGGAGTTATTTCAGTGTTACAATATATTTTAGTATCCCAAATGGACTGAATACTTATTAAAGATGACAGATAGTCCTGGAGACATAGTTTTATTTGTTTACTGGGTATTTTTATTATTATTAAAGGAAGACTAGAGAGCGGCTGAATGTCTGGGGAGATAGGGTGTTCAACTCAAAGTTTAAGATACTGTATCAAAAGTGTGATTCCAGCTTTGATTTACTGCTAGTCTGTAGAAGAATCATTCCAAGGTTAGGAAACTTGCCTACAGTTTTGGTGAATTCAGTTCAAGCTCCACCTCTGCTGGAGTTTTTCTGGTACCAACAATTTAGTCTATCTGTAGTTTCTTCCTTCCCTTATAAAATGCAGAAAATATCACTTCTTTATTCACGTGAGTATGTCTCACCACAAAAAAGTTAGAAATTGCAAAGTGCTTACATCACCATCATCATGTAAGTACCCAGGACAGATATTGGTACATATATTTTAAATAATTTAATAATAAGACACCTTTCTTGTGTCTTTGAAAAACATGGAAGGATTGATACAATCTCTTCCTTAGAAAAACTGGATAGATTTTTTTTTCCCTTGCAGAAAAAAACTGCTTGAATAATAGAGAAATTTACTCTTCTTTGCCATTCAGTCTTCTACCTCTCTGGGGGAATGTTAGAATGCAATTACTCTGCAGAAGTTTTTCCTTGCCAGACAGTTTCTTCTGTAAGATGAGGAAGGAGGCACCCAACTTCTATGTAAGCAGAGAAGATAGATAGAACAAGAAGTCAGAACAGAACTGAAAGATATTTTAAAAAAGGGAAAAAAAAATCAGTAAATTTCAGTTTCAGTATTTTTTTTTAATTTTTAAGAATACTGACATATCTGGATGAGAGACTAGTCTTTATATGCCATTACCAGTCTCCTGGGACAGGTAATTTCCATTACAGAAACCTGGAAGTGGAGAGAGAACAGAAAATATATTCAAGAATCTTATTTTTTGTAGCACTCGTCATTGGACTTCTAAATGTCTTTCCTTCAGTGAGCTTCTTACTATGTGTGTCACCACAAGGGTAGTCAAAAATAGGGAAAAAGTATTGACTGTCTTGGGGATTAGCCCAGACAAGTTGTTCCAGAAGATGCAAGTTTATTGAATCCTAATGGTCACAGATTTTCTTTTTTTGGAAGAAGAATTTTGGATGTTTTAGTGGTGTGATTCCCTTACAAAATGTGCTAATATCATTTAGTTTGGGTACTGCTGTCATTGAGTCACACAAAAAAATAAAGTGGAGAGATGAATTAATTTTAGCTCTGAGCAGAAGACCCATGACATAGCTGAATTCTTCTAAATTGATCCAGCAGAGGGCAATAATATGTCAAAACAGTAACTGGTTCTTAAGAACTAGATATGGAAAAAAAAGAGCAAAACCATAGAATTTTGAGGAAAGTTCTTTCTCCTTTTATTGGAAATATAATGAAACACAGAGAGCTACGAAAACAATTGTGATTCTTTGTGAATTGTTTCAGAAATACACAAACTACCTCATTCCCCACTAAATAACTATTTTAATCTATCAATATTAGTTTTGTGCAAATATTTATTATGCGAAAGATTTATGTCACCCTTAGTAGAATGGAAATAGTTATTCATGTTTACTTTTTAAAAGAGCAATTGAAATGAATTATTGACCACCTACCTAAGTAGGACATGTATAAAAGTCATGTACTTTTGGAGAAGCTATTAGTTACACAACTTACAGTTAAGAGACGTCTTTAATTCCACCACAGCAATGGAAGTCATATAAAGTACAGTCAAATCTGTCCAGTAGTACTGGTCTCATTGTGTCTCAATTTCTTCTCGGGAGAAAAAGAAATTAAGCAAGAGGGCTGGATCTTAAAACATTGCACATGTTTGTTGCTTCTTTGGTATTATGGGCTTTTTTGTGGCTTTCCAAATTGGACTGGACACTACAATGGGTTGCAAGAGGAATGTTTCATTTTCTGACTCAAAACATTCCAGACAGACATGATAATACATGTGCATAAATTAAAATACTGCTTCATAAGGGGGAACTTGTCTCTTCTGCACTGAAAGAAGGTCAACCCCTTTGGGCAAAACTTAACGCAACCCTGCTGGTGTCCCCTGTTGATCTACTTGTAGTTGCTTTATCCATTTTTCTCACCTCATTGGGTCTCAGTGAAGCTTTGTGAATCACTACCTTCTTTGACTGATGCTATTTTTTGCAGAGCTAGTGAAAAAGCTCTGCTAGGTGACAGCTAGCAACTCACACAGACATCCTGATACTTCTATTTGGTGTTTCAGAGAACATTATTATTGATTTCATTTTCCAGTGGTAGCATCAAATCTTGACCTGATTTGAAACTGGGAATTGGTGCATATACACTCTCCAAAGTGCACATGTTCCAAGTGTTGTATAGGTGATTTTCTTTGTTTGGTAGGTACTAGTGTTTTTCTTGTGACAAGTCATTTTGTGACTAACTTATTTGAAATTATGCACTGGCAGAAGGGTTTTCTGCTCCCTTAGCATTCTTAAAAACAGAAACTTAAACCATTCAGTAGTATGTCTTTCTGGTTATTGAAACCAGGCAAACTGTAGCCTTACTCTTCCTTTTTTTTTACTTCTGAATATGTTATTGACACTCAGGGTGAGTACTTAAAATGAGATATGATTTTTGTTCCCTGAGCAAATAGGGAAACTCTGTAAGGTAGATTTTAATGGCATGCAAATAAGCAAGAAAGCAGTCTATATATGTTTCACATCTCATAGTTACTTTTAAGGTCTGTGTAGCAGACTTCTGATTCTGAGGCTGTGTGGCCCACAAATGACAGTTAAAATCTCTTTTATAAAGAAACTCAGAATCTTTTGTGCCTATAGATGAACATGCTCATCAAATTTGGCATTTCCTTATTTTGACTTTTTTCCCCTCCCTACAGCGACTTGAAAACAGTGTAGAGAAACCCATTGCTGAGGCTGCAAAGCTCTACTGGGTCTTTCTAAGAGCAGAGGAATCAGGGATTCCTGGTGCGTTAATCACTGTGATGCTTTACGCGATTCTGTTCCTCATTTCATCAGCAATATTGTGCTTTTACTTTCTCAGGTATGTCTTTCTTATTATCAATTTATGAGCTTAGGCCCAAGTGTGTACCCCTACAGGGTAAAATAGCATGATGTCAGAAAAGATATATTAATATATCAGTATGTCATATGTCCACAGCACAGATTTTCAGACTATCAAGGGAATTAATTCCTGTGTAATTTTCAGTATGTTTGTACTTGGTGGGCGCTTTAGAGGGAGCCACTCATTTCCTTAACAGGAATACAGTAGATATCTTGCTCTCTCATCTTGTCTAGGAGCTTCTGTTCCACAGGCTTTTAAGAATGGGGCCTAATTTAAGGATTTAAGGTCTAAGGTGTGTATATCTTTTATTTAGATACTTTGGAAGATTTTATCTTTGGACTTCTAAGTAGTCTCTATCTCATACTGCAATAGACCACAGAGTATGACATCTAACGTGACACCATTTTAGACTTGATACAACTGTTTGATTTAGTGCATGATAAGATATACTCCAAAAAAATTGCCATTACTTTTGCCTATTATAAATATTAATAAATTCAACCTCATCATGAAATCAAACCAGCTACATTTCTTGCCAGCATTCTAGCAGACACCATTAGCTATACACCACCAGGCAAAAGCATGGGAAACTGAGAGCAAATGAAATAATAGGTTGTCTAATGTATTGGCTGAAGAAGTGTATTTGCCTTTTTCTTAGCAACTCATTTATAATGCAGTACGAATTTTTTACTGGCCCTTCATCACTCAGTGAAGAACGTTGGATGGTGGCAGGTAATCGTAAAAAACGGTATGCAATGGCAAAATCCAAGCAGTTCTAAGAATAGAAATGCTCAGTATATTGCTTCCCTCTGACAGTATCATCCCTAGGTTGTCTTTCCTCAAATTCCATTACAGCAGGCAGAAAAAGATAAATGGCAAACTAAATTTCTGCAAAGTATTTCAAAACTCCTGTATTCCTGGAAGCTGTACACAACTCCAATGTACTAGTTGTCTAGTTAATTAGTTTTTGAGATGTTAATGCCTTCTTAATCATTGACTTAATAGTTTTGAATAGCTTCATAAGTTTTAGCTGCTGTCGTTTATTACTCAGGAAAATTAATTTAAATTAAAACATTTGTAAGGCAGGTTTTTATGAGAATATTACCAACATCTTCATTGTCTGGGGAACAGGTGCAAGATCATCAAAGGTTCCTTTCCTTCTGGATCAATTTTCCCATAATGTTTTCCAATAAAGGGGTGGGGAGAGAATGTTACTGGGGGAAAAAAGTTGTCTTAGTACAACACATTTTAAAAATGATTCATAGCAAAATACAAAAGCAAAGGGAAGATAACAAAATCTGTTACAGTGCATTAGGTCTTTAAAGCACTTTGCTTGATAGTTACAAAAAAAAGAAAAAGAATGCTGGAGTCTGTGCAGGGTAAAGATATACAGTGAGTTCTTCAGATAGGATCAGCTTTCTCTTCAACACGTGTCCACAGCCCAGCCTAGTGGAATGTGGTCCCTGACAAAGACTGTTGAGCATCATACTATCCCAATCCGCTAATGACAGCAGTAAAATATTTTCAAATGCCTTTATGGAAAACATCTCTGTAGTTCACAACTTTAACTTGGTTTCCCAAAAAATATATATAATAGCATTTGTTTCCAAAAGAAAATAATATTTTAAAAAAGGAAGTAATAAAGCTAACTACCTCTTTCTGTGAGTCCTCAGGTACTATATCCTGAGGACCTTAAACGTAAGGTCACTGGACTCAGTAAAAATATATTTTCACACAGACATCCACCATATCCATCACTCATAAGGTAAACCTATATAAATGTTGTCTCCTAATACAGCAGTCCATAGGGAACTGTCCTTAGACAGTGCAATTGGTGACATTAGTTGGAATTACTCAGCAATTTGCCATTTAACAGAGTATAAAATAGAGGATGAGAACAATGGATCCATCAGTGCACCAAAGAAGGCAAGGAATGAGTTTGTTTCTGCTAGAAACTTCATGGTAGCATCGATCAACAACTGTGAAGCTAACCAAATCACGGGCAGAGGATAAACAGCAGTAGGTATCTATTTGTGCCTATAAGAAACAACATACTTCAATAAGTCTGGCTCCCTTTGGGTGTCTGTAGTACATCTAGCATGAAGAGATATTCTAATTACTTTTTAGAAAAATGAAGTGGCACTGTTTGCAATTCCTTCATTTTAATTCCACCAGACGTTAGAAACAGTCAGGAATTCATTGGTGAAATGGTTTCTGCAATGTGAGGGAAATCCAGCGCATCCCAAGTATAACTGTCTGGAAAGGGTTTATGCCCAAATTTCCTGTCATTGAAATATTTTACAAGAAAATCTACAAAACAGCAAAATGATTTTTATTGTTTTTTTTTTATGGTTGCTTTCCAAAAAAAGGATTAGCTTCAAAATAAGACATAATATATTGAAATGTTTTAAACCACTCTAGTCTTAAAATTTTGGTTTGTGTTTTTGAGATGTCTTTTTTTTAAAATCTGACTCTGGATGAGAAACCATTTCTGTTCTTCTTTTTGACAAATAAATGAACTTGTAAGATATTATATTGTGTCTCATAGCTGTAAGAAATAGCTCTGACTTCTATATTGCATTGGCAATATATCTTATTACTATCATGTTTACAGAAAATGTATTAAAATACAGGAAGAAGTATTTCATTAGTTTTTATGCCAAAGGAAGAAATTAAAGAAAGAAACTAAAGCAGGTACCAGGATCAGGCTGAGTACTTTTTTGCAAAAGGAACAAAGCTGGAAGACAGAGGCTTCATGATTCCTAATTAATTCAAAGTTAATTATATTGTTTATAGCCCTGTGCTTAAAATGTTCATATAGAAATGTTTATGGCAGCAAATAGACAGTAATTTAACTGCATTATATTTTACTTCATTTTAAAAAGGAATTTTACATTAAGTGAGCTTAAATAAATAGCAAGGTCTTGCTCTTGTTTAGCAAGATAAGTGGCAAGTCATTAAAACTGCTGACCTGAAATTTCAAAGAACAACATGCAATGTTATTGTTTCAAGACAAGTTTAAGACCAGAAGGCAACTCGCATGATTACTACTTTTCCAGCTAAGCACAAAGTGATATAAAGTCAATCTCTGTAAAAAGATATCTACTATTGTCAATAGAATATCCAGTATTGGTCCAGAGACTGAGAGACAAACTTTCCTTTGAAAACTGAAAATTTTTGAAATTTGGAAAAACGTTCCTCAAAGAGAACTGACTATTTTTAATAAATCTTCTCCTCTATAATATTTTTAAAGATACCTTAATAACCTGTTATGCATTAACACTGGAACTTTTTCTATTATTTATTGAAAGCCAGTTTATTTATACTCCCAGGACTAACTGAATCTCTTAGGTTTTATTCCAAGCAGTCTCCTGGTTTCATTAAGAGAATCCCAAAATAACACCTTGAAAACTGCGGAAAATTTATGCCTACAACTTCAAAAAAGAACTTTTCAAAAAAGAACTTTTCAAAAAAGAAGGGTGGCAAAAAATACAGAAATAGCCTTTGCAGCAAAGCAGGAGATGAAAGGCCCTAATCTGATGTTGAGCCAAGCTGCCAAATTTCTGTAGCTTAATAACTACTTCATCACTGAATCTGGTAGATATGGAACTTGACATATATTCCTCTTTGAAGAGACAAGTAAAGCTCTTCCTGGGATCTAGTTGAAAAACTGTCTGTTGGTCCATCCCTTTATTTCTGTTCCATGCTAAATCTCACAGATATGAACAAAATTGTATTAAACACCTTATTGAGTTTGCTTCTCTGCAATTACTATGTGCACCATAAGGTGAGATGTAGAGCTATTTAAATCTGAACTTCATTCTGATTTGGTTTTGATTTTGCTGGCCTTCACACTCTCCCTGCCCTGACGCTTATCGAATATAACACCCAAGAATAAGGATCAGTCACAAACATTGCTTCTAGTGCTTCTGTACATGAGAAGGATGAGAATCCACAAGGCCAAAGCCTCCCCGTGCTCTTCCTCCCTCCTGCCAATAACTAAAGGACCTTTACAGCCCCATAGATATCTGAACTTCTTGTTGCTTGCAGAACAACTACCAAGGCAGTCTCTGGAAAGATAGAAAAGCTGAGGTTGGCAATGAGCAATAGATGAATTCTAATAAAGTGTTACTTGGAAGAGAGTATAAAAGCAAAGACCTCAATTCAATATCCAAGATTGAGATTCCAGATTTTCTGACCTTTTTTTTTTCTGAGCTCTAGGTTTTGAAATAAAAGTAGAATGAGTAAGAAAGAGATGAATTTGAAAAGGTTCCATTTGAATTAAATAGACATGTTTTGAAGTTTTAAAGTTCATCTAAGGCTAAAAATGTGACATTAGGCTCTTCCAAAAGCCTCACAATATTTCATGGTTTCACCTACATTAAGAAATACCACACAGCATGTCTTTCTTGTGGTAGAGGATTTTATTTACTCAGTTCCCTACCACAGCACAGAAGTGTTACAGAAAAAGAAAACCAACAGACAAAATGAAATTTTCTAACATCAAGAGAAGTTTAGATTGTATAGACTTTAGGTTTTGGGTTAAGAGAAACAATGATTGTTACTTCTTCTATATGATGTGGTTTGCCTGTTGTTAAAACCCTGGCACAGAAAGACTTCCATTCACGCCTAACTTAACAGACTTCATGTAAGCACTGGGACGAATTACCCAGTACAAAGCAAAGGGCATAAATAAATGTCCACGGGATCAGGCCTTTCTTTGTAAATCAATGCGTTGAAATAATTAAAATAGATCTCTTCTTAAGATTATGTCATTTGTTTCAGGTGTTGTAAAGTTTCCAGAAAGTTGTGGGGGTTGCATGTTAGAGGACATGAGGACATGAACTTTCTTATTCAGAGGCAGTCATTATGGACATGGAGAAAAGACAAACTTTATACCGTGAAACGATAAAACTCTTTTTTTTTTTTGCATGAAAATCTGTTCGAAGATGTAAGTCTGTTATTTTTATACTTAGGCTACATAGCGAAGGTTGGTTGTTGGATGTATTTCGACGTATTCACGGTGAGGAAGCTATATTCCTTGTTCCCTTGGACTTAGAGATTTCTGGCCAAGAGCTGAGCTACATTATGAAGAAAGCTGAGCAATGGAGAGGAATCAATGGTGAACGACGAATGGTGAGTGGCAGAGTTTCCTGGAAGGGTTTGTAATGCACTTATCCAAATCAATGTTTTGTTTGCATGGTTTATTACCTTAAAAGATATACAAGAAAAATGATTCATAGGGAGCTTATTAGTTTTTTAGTATGTAAGAAACATTCAGGAGGGTTTTTCTGATGGGTTGTATGTCTATTGCCTGAACATCAGGGTTACAGTCTGCTTAGAATTCAAAGGCTTAGTGGCATCCCTGATGGCAAAAATTATCCATGCCATTTGGTGATTACTACTTGAGTCACATACATTTGCTACTTGATTAGATGGCCACAGCATTCCAGAAAAGTTCTCCGCCAGCTCAGAAAACCAGGTTCTTCCATGGACAAGTCAAATATGCCCCATGCAAGGGGGTGGTGGGGCAGAGGGGCATGAATTTGGTGAATTACAAGAGCCACACTCTTGTTCCTGGGCGCTTTCTTTCCAGAACTGCCTAGAGGGGTGGAATGAGTTATAGGTATGCAGTGAAAGCTAGGAAAGGTCTGGAACTGGTCTGTTCTACTTTGGTTATCAGGAAAATTCTCCTTTCTTTCCCTTTAGCCTCTGGTCACATATACACTCTGGAACTCATGATGAACAGGAAACATGTTAATGACTGTGCTTGCAAAATGTTTGGTCTTGGGGTTCCCATCCACAAATGAGAATTCTGGTCATATTCTCAATTCAGAGAACTGAAAATAACAGCAGCAACAGGGTCTGTTACATATGAGAGACATTTTCTCCCCTGCTCTCTAACTTTGCAAAGACATTATTAACTTTCATTGTACTATATTATAAAACCACTTTTGGACAATTATTAAAGTGCTCATCAATTAAATTTATGCATTTATGAGTTTCTCTGTGCACAAGGCTTTATGCAATAACTCTTCTGCTTTGGTGTGCAAATGAACAGATTCCAGATAGGAAGGAAATGAGTCTGGTTAAGTATGTCCAAGCTGTTTGTTTTGTTCTCTTTTCTAACACAGTAGACCAAATGATTTGACATCAGGGTCTGCAGGTTTTTCAAGTCTCTTTAGCTACCTCTGAGAGATCAGCAGTTTATATAAATATATAGCCTCAGTTGTCACTGCTATAAACATCTGGGACATGTTTTTCCTTGATGACAGTTTGGATCTTGGAAGGAAACATTAAAAGGTGAATGTGCCAATTGAATGAAATAGCAGATACTCCATAAGCTTATTTTTTTCCTGAAATGCAGAGCACCCTGAGCTCTGACAGTGAAAGGGTTTCAACTAGAGAACTGCCTAGCACAGGCACCTGCATCTCTCTCTCTCTCTCTTTTTTTTTTTAATGCACTTCTCTAAGCCAGAAAGAAAAATAACCTTTTGTGTGAGTGTGTGTTTTTCATTTAAAAATTTTCTACAGCAAGTCAAGTGCATTGCCTTACAAAAGCATTGGTGGTTGGTTTCTATTTCCATTGTTACATATTAAGTAGAGTCAAACAAAGAATATATAGCAGACCTCCTGTTACATGCCAAGACAACTAATGCCATGTGGGAAAAGTAGCAGATAACGAAACAGCAAACAGCTGCTTTTTCTGTTTCAAGTGCTGAATATATTTCTAGATATTAGCAGCATATTGCTTCCTGCAGTGGTGCAGAGAGGGATGAATGGAAAAAAATAGATTTAAAGAAAAGAGAAGATGGACGTTAAGAGAAATCAAAAAGAATAGAAGGAAAAAGTAGTTCTCTGTACACAAATAATTTGAACCTGGTTGGCAGGAACTTGCAGTGTCTACCCCTGAAATGAGCCTGGTTCACAGGCCAGAGCACTGAAAAAAAAAGACCCACGGGCACAGATATGCTCAATTTTACGTAAATATGTATATAGGAGTTAGGAGTGGTGGGGGAAGGAGTGTGTAATTTTGCATCCCTGACATAATATGAGTTTCTACCATTTCCTTCAGTAGGCATAATGTCTGCCTCACAGTGGGCAAAATTTATACTGAGGAATACTGTCCAAAACTCCCGAGCTATTTAATGCTGTAGAAAAAAAAAATCTTTCTGAAAGCTGACTTTTCCCCCTTCATTTCCCCTTCCCTTTTTATATATATTAGTTTGGGGTTCTATGTAAAATAGAACCATCTCATCAGGTTTCATTAGCTCTTTGGAAAATCTAGCTTTGTAATAAAACTGTTCCATTCTGGAAATATGTTCTCCACATGGAACATCTCCTTGCAGGACTAGGAAATATGTTTTCAGTTTTTTTTTATGCTTCTTGGCATTTCATATATTGAAAGATATCTGCATTGAAAATATTGAAAGATATTTTTCTGCCATGAATTTGTATGAGGTATTTATCTTATCCCTTTCTCTTTGTATGTCTAATTGTACAAAGTAATCAGTATGGAAGACACATCACTAGGTCTTATTGCGTGCATTATTAATGTGCTAATTTTTAAATAAGATACCAAATTAACTGTGAGCATTTTTTAGAAAAGCAAGCATGAGACTGCCATATCTTATCTATCACTCTGTATAAAAAATACATTTTAAATGGAGGTCATTCAAGTAAATAGTCAGTCAAACCTTCTGGAAAAAATAAGTCTACATTTTTGCAGTATTTTCTTGCTATTCACCATGTGCTTTCATTTTTATTCGCTAGATTAAAAATTGCCCCATAAATGGGTATTTTATAATATGCTTAATTTCCTTTTATTAAATTGATAAATGCAGAAGCAGAGGACACATTTACAGTATGATGGGAATTTAAGGTTATTGCATTTTATAATTTTTATATTGTTCAGTGAGGCTATTTGTCATTTGTGGAATGACATCCATGCCATCATTTCTAACTATTTTTAGTCATTCTTTTGAAAGGAAAAAGGTCACTTTCTATAGACCAGAAAGACATCACTCTATTAAACTAATTTGCCTACATGCAAATTTTGTCATTTTTACCTCATTAACTATTTATCATAGAGTAAAAAAATATATATATTCATGAAGGGGCAGCTAGCAGCCTGATGGAGCTGGAACTAATATTTTGCAACTCTAATGATTTTTTGCATCCTTAATTAGATAGCATAAGGTTGATATGATTAGGTCAGGATGTAGTGTTTTTCATTAAAATACATTTTAGAAGCTGTATTCATAATCTACCCTTGCAATTAAATAATGAGCCTATGAGTTTAATATTATCGACCCAATTATTATCCCATGGAAAAGTATACCTTTAATAAATTTGTGCCGTAGGACCTTCATTAGCAACAAAACGAATTATATTTCCAGGTATACAAATTGCATGGCACAATCACATTTACGTAGCGGTTTGGAAAGCACTGAGGGGAGAGAGCCACCAAAGCCCAGGCAGAATACAGAAACACACTTGATTTTTTAGGAAGAGATAATTTACAATTAATTTAATGAGGCAAGCAGCAAAGAAGCAAAAATAGTACTTACAAGGGTGTTCTGAGCACTTTCTGCAAGAAGGAAATCTGAACCTCAGTCCCTCACCCTGTTATAGGTATGGAGGCGGACCTTTGCATTTAGTGAGCTATTTACAGAGAGGGTCTTATGTTGAGTATATGTCAAATCCTAGAAGCAGAAATATCAGCACCAATTGAATGAAAGGAATACATTATCTCATACTGATAACAACAGGTTGGTGGAAGGGCAGGACTCTGGATTTTAGCCTAGCCATTTTTTTTTTTTTTTGGTAGATGTGACAAAAGTGACAATGTCTCGCTGTCCTCACCAAGAAATCAATTTCCCAATGTTAAGTGACAGTTCACAGCATCATATCTAAGAGTTAGATGAGAGGAAATAGAATCCAAGGAAAGTACTAGTAAAACATGTGCTGATTTGTTAAGTATGCAGTGCCCAGTGCAATACTTTTATCATGTTTAAAACCTTTTATCACATAAAATGCCATCAACAAGGGGAAAAAAATCTGTCCTTCAGTGAATTTTACAAGACCTAACCCTAAAGGTTTCATTGCTGTTTGCAGTGGGATGTTATATAATAATAATACAAATTCCATGTACAGTCATTAAGCTGAAACAGCACCATTCGTATACCAAGCATGGACTCAAAACGTTTGCATATAAAGAGATTTTCAGGAAAAGTACAACCTCTATAGGCAAAAAGATAATGCGAAACTTGCACTTGAAATAAAGCCTGATGCACTGCAAATTTTTTTTTAATGAGACTAGGGCTAATTTTCTAATTCTAAAATGATATTATAGCAAACCATAAAAAATTACCCGGCAGTAGTTTTTTGAAAGGAAAATATATTTGTAATTATCTTGAACACACAAGATTACTTGAGGGCCTATTATCGACACAATTTTTGGTACCACTTTACACTAATTTGCATTTATTACTCTCAGGCCAACTATTAATATGTTAATAAATAAGTCATTAATACTTATTATTTAATTGCTATCTATTTATTCCTGTTCAATAATGCATTAATTACTTGTGAATAGTTAAGGGCAAAATCCTGCCCTTGCCAGTGGAATCTGCAGTGGCAGAGAGCGAAAGGGTGCTGGACAAGCCACTGTTAAGTGATTTGCTGAGTGAGCAGAGAGCAAGTCACCTCATTAACATGAGGATGATGAATCTTCACCAGTCTCCAAATAGTCTGTGCTGCAACAAAGCTGCTTGACCACCGGTGGAGAATACAATACCATAGTGAAGGAAACACCTGAGATCTTTGTAGTAGTCTGCTACAAGGCTCCTTTCCTATATTCTGGGCTTGCTCCAGTGTTGGAGTTTCAGCAATGATTTGATTAAAAAAAAAAGTGAAAAATGGAGCTAGCTACATTGCTTTCTTGCTTTCTTCACATGGGATATTGGAAATGAAGAAGTCATAAAAACCCTTCAACAGAAAAAGGATACCTTCCCTCTTCACCACCCCAGTGCAAAGTCACAAATTCAAGTACTTGTATTCTACTCATGTAAATAGATGGTGGTGGAAATCAAAACACAATTGAGAATATATTGACAGGATAATAGATGTTTTCC